GCTTTTGCTTTCAAGACCATGGTATCAATATGAAGACTGAAATTAAGCTTAGGGTCCATATTAACTCCCAAATCAACATAGTTTAAAACTTGCTCTAGAATATGGTGTTTTATTACGTAAGAAGAGGGGTGCACAGATATGATCGGCGTTGTGTGCGCTAGGACGTGCTCCTGTATATTTATAAGTTCTACGAGTTGGAGCGCATTAAAAATGCAATTTCTATTTGCCTGCGTAAAAAGTCTGGATCGAGGAATATAACTGCTGCAAATGTGAGGGATGAAAAATTTGTCAGCAACCTTATCCAGCATGATGAAGGCTATCATGAACTCAAAGGACTTCAGTCCTCACCTGCACATTGGGAGGCTGAAAAGAAGAAAGTTTTAGCCATGATCCGCCAGTTTGGTGTGCCAACATTTTTTATCACTATGTCTGCTGCAGAAACAAAATTGCCTGAGTTGTTAGTCATATTGAAGAAACTGGTGGATAAAGTAGACATTTCGGAAGAGGAAGCTACTGCTCTATTAAGCTCTGAAAAGGCGAGACCGATAAGGACAGATCCAGTTACATGTTCCAGGTATTTCGACAATTGATTCCGCCAAATGCTAAAATTATTACAAAACGGACTATTTGGAGAGAATTTAGTAGTCCGTTACTACTACAGAATTGAATTCCAGCATAGGCGATCACCACATTGTCATGGCATGTACTGGCTAAGTGACGCACCACAATTGGAAAGTGATGGAATCACCAACACAAATGATATTGAAACATTCATCGATTGACACATCACAACCGATGGGGATGATTTGGACTTACTGGAATTCATTCAGTATCAAAAACACAGACTTGGTCGAGCTTGCCTAACAGACCTACATGGAAAACAAGTGTGCCGATTCAACATGCCATATCCGCCGATGCCACGGACAGAAATACTTTTCCCTCTGGAGAATGAGGAAGGTATTGAGCAACACAAAGCTCAATTCCAAAAAATATAGGAACTATTAACTCTAACGGATCTCCCAGAGGAAGAAATAACACGGTTGAACTGCTTCGAAAATTTTTTGGCGGATGAGCGAATCAAAACTGACTATGAAGGATACAAGATTGCTCTTCGCTCAACTGTAAAAATGCCACACATTTTCCTAAAGAGAAAATTTTCAGACAGGCTTCTAAATGCCTATAATAAAAATATCCTTAAATTGCATAGAGCAAATATGGATATTCAATTCATTCTGGACGCATACGCTTGCTGCAGCTATATCATTAATTATATAAATAAATCCAATAGAGGAGTATTGACATTATTGAGACAAGCCATGGAGGAAATAAATGCAGGGAATTTCTCCATTAAAAGAAAACTGCAGCACATCGGAAACAAATTTGTAAATGGATCGGAAATATCTGCTCAAGAAGCAGCTTATAATATTTTGGGACTGCATCTATCAGAAGCCAGTAATGGGGTAAGGATGATAAAGCCCCGACTTGAATTGAACGCTTTACAGGAGGACTCTACGGACATATACTATGTGCCGAGTGTGCTGGAGCACTACTCGCAAAGGCCCGATCAATTGGAAGAACTATGCTTAGCAGATTTTGCAGCATGGTTCAGATTTTGCAAAACAAGCAGAAATGTTTCTGATAATAACGAAGAATACAACGAAGTAGAGAAGGAGGATGACACGACAGCTGCACTTCCAATGGCATTAAAGGATGGATCAGGATTTCTAAGGAAAAGGAAGCAAGCCCTTATTCTGCGTTGGAAACGTTTTAGCGTTGAAAGTTCAAGAGCCGATTTCTTCAGAGAAACCGCCATGATGTTTCACCCATGGAGAAATGAGGAATTAGACTTATTAAATAATGACGTCGAGAGTATTTGCAATTCACACAAGGAGCAAATTGAGGTGAATAAGCTCAAATATGACAAATTTTCATCGAACGAACTAGAACGGATTTTGGAAAACCTTCATGTCACAGCGGAAGAAACAGCTGATGATCGAGCTGCCTCACAACTTTTAGATCCCGAATTTAGAGCTCTAGCCGTTCCAGAGCAAACAGGAGACATTAATGTTTTTCAAGAGCACAACAATACAGAGGAAGAGGCGGTTCGATTAATTAAACTCCCACCTCTAATATTAGAAGACCATTTACTGGCAATGGTGCAGTCACTTAACAGCAAACAGAGGGAATACTTTGCTCATGTAATGCACAATGTCAGTAAAAGGGAAATCTTCTTCGAATATGTCGGAGGCGGTGCTGGAGTGGGCAAGAGTCGGCTTATAACAACTATATATCAGTCATTGACATTGCGAGCTAATAGTGTACCAGGAGCCAACCCCGAAACAGCCAAGGTGTTACTCTGCGCACACACTGGCAAAGCAGCATTTGGAATTGGCGGCCTAACCCTTCATTCGGTTTTTTCACTCCCCGTCATCCAGTCTTCCGGCGATCTTCGGCCACTAAATAGTGACACATTAAACACCATTCATGCCAATCTCATAGATATTAGGCTTATTATAATTGACGAAATTTGGAGAGGAGCAAAGATGTTTGCATATTTAGATTGCAGGCTAAAGCAAATTTTCAGGAGCACCGCTTACTTTGGAGGCATACCAATTATCGTGTTTGGTGACTTAAAGCAGCTGCCGCCAGTAGGAGATGGATATTTGCGCCGAAGGAAGACCGCTTTGGTATCAATTTCGGTACTTTGAGCTCACTGAAATAATGCGCCAGCGTGAAGATCAAGCATTTGCAATCGCTTTAAATAACATGTCAGAGGGAAATATGACACACGCTGACATTCAATTAATCAAAAGCAGGGAAAAGACCTCTAATGAGATACCGAACGAAGCCATCCATCTATTTTATTCAATTGCTGGAGCAAATGATTAACTAAACTGGCGAACACGATGACCGAGGAACACAGATCACGATACATAAAAGTCAAGGTGGAACATACACACAAGTTGCTGTTCATCTAGAGGGTAGAGTAAGCAGATCAGCTTTATATGTAGAATGTAGCAGAGCCACAAGTGCCAATGGATTGTATATAATCGGGACATTTTCTCCCCCGAACCCATTTGGACCGCAGGATCCAATTAAAACTCAACTCAATAGGTTGAAGACAGAAGGAGCATTGACGACATGCTACAGATTTTTGACTGAAAAATCGGAACAACGCCTAGATATTTATTATCAAAATGTAAGGAGCCTAAACAAGCATATTGAAGATATTAGATCAGACAAGCTGATTTGTTCTGCTGATATTCTGTGCTTTGCCCAGACATGGGCCTTACCTCAAGAAGAATTCCCAATAGAAGGCTACAGTGTTTACCAACTGTTAAACGTAAACAATTCAACAGTTTCCATATCACTTGTGTACAGGAACCCCCGATATAGACTTCCGGAATTTAGAAACCAAGTGGAAAATAATATCCGTCAGATAACTGAACAGTATAATGGACCGTAAGTAGTCCTTGGTGACTTTAACAAATGTCGCCTAACAGCAACTGTTGATTTGGAGGCTCGAGCCACAACAAAACAGGAAACATCAATAGATTGGGTATGGACAAACATGGATTCTGCAATGACCATACATGAGGTCATAAGAAACACCATATAGTGATCAAGACGGAATATTTTTAAGCTTTAGAAAATAGATATATTATATATATAGATATATGTTAGATTCAATATTATTAATTTTAAGTTGGTATTATAATATAAAGTGTAAGTCATAGATGTAATTATTGTAATTTATATATCATATAAAAAAGTATTATAGAATAATAATTTCTAATTTCTATAAATATTATAATTTGTTTTGTTTTCCATTAATTAATGTGAATAATCAATCAGCTTAAAAAATTAAAATTTATGTAAATGTCTGAAAGATCTATTTACCTCAATAACTAACCTTAATTCGAATAGAAGATTGTTTATAGCAAAGAACCTGGCTAGAAAGAACTGGCAAAATGCTTTCCGTTGGATGCAAACCGTTGGCAAGGCATGTTTTCAAATGTAGTCATACATATAGTAGTTACTAAAAGAAATGCACCTGTGAAGGGTATTATAGCTTCGGCGCAGCCGAAGATAACGTTTTCTCTTGTTTTGATTATCAAAGGTGTACCGTTGCATAGTTAAGGTGTACCGTTGCATAGTTAAGGTGAATTGAAATAAGTCTGAATAATTTTCGACCGAAGATTATGTGATGTCAATCCGATTATATCTAGATAATTTACGTTTTCATTCACATTAACAACAGTAGCGAATGATTTAAAATAGACGATTCTAAGCTATCTTCTCAAAAATTTAAATCGGTTAAACCGTTCATGAGTTATAAATATTGTAGCTAACAACGACTCTCTTTTATATACATATGTATATAATATTACGAATTGTTTATACAGGAGTATAGAAAACTGTTGTTTTTGGGGTTTTTCAGAAATTTTTTTTAATTTTTCTCTGCATAGGAACCATTATCGTACTTTATGCAATATTCTAGAAAAAAGATTTAGCAAAATCGTTTCAGCTGTTCTCGAAATTTGAGCTTAGCAACACATTCAGTGATTCATTTTTACATTACATTAATTAATGATCAGTTTACTATTAATTATTAATTATTGAGACCATTAATTTAAATAGTAACTATCCTATCATTTAAGTTGGACCAAATTACATATATATATCAACTTTCATGAATATCAGTTCACTCGTTTTTTAGTTCATTCGGAAAATACATACGGACACTGAACTTTTATATATTAAGATATATTTTGTTGACATAAGACAGATTTTACGTAGTGGAGTTATAAATATTTTATTCAAACCAATATAGTATATTCAGTGCTCAAACTTGTTAAAACCGGTGCAAAAATTGTATATTGAGACCGGATTATATATTATGGCTTTTGTAAAAAATATACTATAAGGCCACATTAGTCCAATTTCTCATTCAAAAAATTATTGTCATATATTTTTTTTTTCACTGAAGTCATACATACCCAATCGTAGAGTGTAAACAGATCCATGGCTGTTAAAATTTTTAAACCGAACGCGCACTCAAAAGTTTCTCGTACTCACTGCTCTCCCGCTCTCTTCTTTCATTTCGAAAAATCTGTTAAACAGCATCCACAAAGTGCAATATTACACCTCATCACTGTGGCCCTTTGGTTGATGGTTGCACATGTGCAGCAACGTTCAACAGAAATACATCACAGCGTTCGTTGTGTTCTTCAAACACATTTGTATATGTATATACCATATAGGCATATACAAGCGTATAGGTAATAATATGCCGATCGCACGCCTCTCAGCAAACAAACGCGTAGTGGGTGAATACAAACGCAGGTGCTATACAAGTATATACTTAGGAATAGTTCCGTTACTCTGCCTCGTTCCACGCGACAGGATGGGAAGAGTGCAATCAAGTCACTTTTAGTTTAAAAATTTTGGCATTTACCGAAGTGATTCAAGTGCGCGAACGCCTGACGGCCATTGCTCCAAGTACACGACAACTTATCAGCATTCGTTACTCGGTCAAACTTTTGACTTTGTATTGATACATTATTGTATACATTTATGTATGTAACATACATATGTATTTAAATTTCTAACAAATCCATTAGTAAATCGCGTTGACTCACAACTTGTGTATTTTGAGAGGATATAAGCTTACAATTGTAAAATGGAATTATATAACACATGTATCTCTAAAGAATATGTACATTAGCACATATGCATAAGTAAGTTTTACTACTATTAACTATTGAAATCTCTGATGCTCACTAATATCGACGAAATATCTAAACAAATTATTTAAGGGTGTACAAAAAAAAGTATGTACTACTACTGCAGCAAAATAGACCATTTTCGTTGCAAAGGAACGTGCTACTATGTATATTTTGTGTGTGTTTATTTGATGCAAAAAATACAATTAACAATGATGTCTTTTTCATTGACAGTTCTGGCATACACATTTATATATAAATTTTAACAAAACACACATTGGCTATTAAAATATGTCAGAAGTGTACTGTGACTTTTTGAACCCATTTTTAAACACAAATGAGGCCAACTACTAAATATAGCTGGAATTTAGATAGCTTAACGGTTATATCTAAAGTTGAAAATACATTCTCCAAAACCTTTATGTCAAGCATGATTGCACAGCCGTGCGGGTATCTGCCTCTTTGTTAACACACATTGGGTGCAAGAAAATAAGCGGAATACTGTACATACATACATACCTTTTTCACATCGATATTGGAATTTAAAAACTATAAACAGGGTACAATCTGGCGTTCTACTTGAAGCTATTGTCAAAACTTTTGAGAGACTAGGACTCCACAATTCCTTTCAGCTGAGCAGTAGTTTCTGAGGCTTAGTTTTAAGTAAAATAAAAGGAATGTGAAAAGATGGATTAGAATGCAGAATATAACTTAAATTGCACTAACTAATCTCAAAAGCATATTCAAACTCAATATTTTAATATATTTCTAAGTATATAATCTCAAAACGTGTTCTTTTTCACTGCGTTTATAAAGCAAAGACGCTGTTGTGAATTAAAGCAATGGGAATGGGGATTAGTGAACTTTCGAAGCTGGGAGAAATGATTTAATGCTATAGCTTGTTTCTCAACCGATCTTTATTAATTAATAATAATTAACTTTCTGAAGTATAAATCCTCTTTCGCAAATTATAAAAAACATAAGGCAACAAGTAAGGATGGGCTAAATTCGGGTGTAACCGTACATTTTATACTTTTACAACTTGCAAGGATCAAAGTTGGGGAAATACCTTCAGGTGGTGCCAAAACTTTATATTAAGAAATGTGGTGAAAAGGTTCTTCTTCATTGTTGCACGAAATGGTGAATGGACTATAATCAAATTTGGTGTCACATTAACTTAGTCATAGACTCACATAGTCTTATTACTATATTTTACATCCCGTCAGCGTAAATTATACTAAAATCATTGCGGGCTTACTAATGGAAGTGCTGATTGCATTAATTTTTGACATTGCTCAGGTATACTTGAGAGCTTATTTTCAAGCAATTTTATTAATATATAAAAATATTTATAAACATATATATAGAGTAAAGTCAGCCGGACGTTTCAAAATCGTGAATATGGGGGCTAATGCAAGTGTTCGCCCGATTTTATCTATTTTAGTTACAAAGATACACTGTTATTAGAAAAACACGCTTTCTCAATTTCATTGAAATAACTAGAACATTGGCCGATATATGTGGTATAAAGTCAACTGGAAGTTCGAAAATCTTTATCAGGGGTGTTGTAGAATCTGATAGTTGTCGGAATCAGAATTGAAACCAATAAAAAAGTGTAGTAAGTGTCCTGAATTCAGATATTATTGGTTTGACGTTCGAAACAGAAATTGTATCGGTTTTGGGTGTCACGGAAACCAATTTTATCGATTTTCTTGTCAGAAAAGCAAGAGGATAGTTGTTTACAGATTTGAAATGTTAGTTAAGAAAATAATGTATATTATTGTTACGATTTAATTTATCGTTATATCTATAGTGGAAAACAAAAGAACAAAACATAAAAAATATGGAGTTTATGGAAAAAAGAGGATTTACAAATCGTAATAAACGTAATTTAACACACAAATACCTTTTTATTCAAATAATATGATATTAATTTGTAAAGTAAGCATGTATACAAACAAACAAGTAAATGCAAGCCAAATTTCTCATGTGACTTCCCTGGTGCATCAGGTGGATTACTGTGTAATTTTTTCGGTGCCTTTTTCTTCCAATAAGATATAAGCTAAAATAGCGGAACTCATTGTAATTTTTAGTAGATTGTACTTCAAATTTATCAAACGCTTTTAAATTTATTCATTTGCAAGTTTTGTTACAATAGTAAACAGCTGACTCGAATATTGGTTTTACGCAAATCTGTCTTGGATTCCGCAACACCCCTGTATAGTAGGTATATGCGGGCTAAGGGAAGTATTGATCAGATTCAACCAATTTTTGACACAAGGGTATGTTATTATCAAAAAAAAAACATTTTCCCCGAATTTCAATTATATATCTCATAGATTGATCGATGTTTTTGGCAAAAAGTCAGCCATAGGCTCTGAGTTCCGGTATCTGAAATGAAATAGTTATGGTCCGATTTTAACAATTTTTAGACATTCCTTAAACGAATTATGCGTGCAAATTTGTATCCCGATATAATAATTAGTGCTTGATTTGTATACTGGAGTGAAATAGTCAGATGGAATTTAAAGTTGTGTTATATGGGAAGTAGGCGTGGTTACTGTCCGAATTTGCATCGTTACATGGGAATGTCAAAATAATCTTATGTACCAAATTTGGTTGAAATTGGTGGAGTAGGTTTGGAAATATGTGATTTCACCTAAATATGGGCGCCCATTGTCCAATTTTGATACTGCTCCTATAAAAACCTTTTTCATCTCGGATGTAAAATTTTATGTCTCTAAAGCATTTTTTTATTGATTTATCGCAGTTTTAGGAAATTTTAACAAAACCATTAGATGGGGAGTGGGCGTGGTTATCATCCGATTTCACCTATTTTCACGCTGTCGCAAGAGGTACATATCATAATTTGAGTGATATATTTTAAATAGTTTGGGAAATATATACATTAAACCGATTAAGTGGCGGGTCCACGCCCACTTTTAAAAAATTTTCAAACCACAGGTGCCACTGTTTGTTGCGAATCGTTATACCAAACGGCAATTTATAGGTTTTCGATTAATGGCGTTTTGTGGGCGTGATCGCATGACGCCCATCTACTAACTCGTCCTCACCAAGGAACACATGTACCAAGTTTCATTAAGATATCTCAAGTTATTGCTTGCACAGACGGACGGATTTCAACTCGTCTCTTCATCCTGATCATTTATATATACATACATAACCCTATATCTAAATCGATTATTTTTAGGTGATACAAGCAACCGTTAGGTGAACAAAACTATTATACTCTGCAGCAACATGTTGCAAGAGTATAAAAACATGGCTTTGATATGAATTAGCATTTTCAAAATTTCACTTTCATAGCTTAGAAGGAAAAGAAATCCGAACTTTTGCAAAAATCTCCCGAATTATGGTAACACTGGAAATCTAATACATTTCATATTTCTTATATCAATAAAATTTTAAGCCGATAAGAAAATTTGGCCTAAAGAAGTTTATTTCTACTTATGTCACAACAGGGAGTCCAAAAACAAGGTTTATGCTGCTCAAAATATAGGTAAAAACCTAAACAGGATTTTGTCCAAAAAAATGTTCTAGTCTCTCGCATATTAAGCGCCATGTAATTTCTTTCAAATTGATTGTGACCTATAATAGCGAAGGAAGAATCAAATATTAAAATTATTTTAACAACTGATACTGGTATTAGTTTTGTAAAGTAAGATATATATCGTCGCTAAAGGCATCAAAATTACAAAACTAAATATTTTTAAGTAATAATTATTTCTGAGAGTATTCGATTAACAGCTTTACTGTTGAAGTTGAAAAAGATCTAATTGTTATGAAAATATCAAATTCGAAATTTGTTATTGTCTTAACTATTGAATATATTACTCATGGGAGCATTTCACAATTATTTCTTTAATATTTTCTTAGATTCAAGATGAAAAGCTGTAGTTAATAAAAAATAATATTTAAACTTCTTCCATTCAACTTGAATTTTTACACAGCTGACTTTGGCGATAAGCAAAAACATACAAATTTGCAGCGAGAACACTTTTTACAGGTTAAGCTCAACACTTTATGTTAATTGAAGGCACAAAAAGAATACAAGAACCGCGAACCGAAAGTTCTAAAACATATGAAAAACGAACCGTAAAATTATGAAATCGACGAACTTAAAAAACACCGAATATCCATTAGGTACACATAACCAACTACACGCACACTACAACTGCTGTCCAGTGGATTATCAATTATTGCAGCATTATTTTGATTTTCTTCTTATTGCACACAGTGACCCTGTGTATTAATTAATTTTCGTTGCCGATAAAATCAATACAATCAGGCTACGCGCGCCGATATTAACGCTTACGAAAGCAGGCGCCAACTGCGCACA